AACCTGGCTGTGCAGTTACTTGAGTGACTACCATAAAATAATATTGAATTCTGCAAAATCCATTGTTTCAAATTAATTCTGGCTCGTTTCTAAAAATGTCTGTTGTTTCACTTCTTTCTCACTTGAATTATATAGACTACTGATGTTTTAGCTTCATCCTGAATTGAATTCTACAAAATTTTGCTAAATGACTGTACTATGATTTAGCTCTACTTCTAATAAATATGTTGTTGTTTTTTCGACTTTTCTTTTTCTGGTGCACACGAGATACGAGTCCTCTAATTGCCAGTTAGCCATGTTTTCGTAGAGGAAAACTAGCTATTGACATTTTGAGATAGACTGTTGGCGAATCGGATAATGGCCAGTGGTTGCCACGCCCTTGATCTCGGATTGCAGTAGATGAAAGTCACGTATGCAAGGTGCAGTCATGTGCAAACCTAGTTTTTGTTGGTATTATTGAGTTTGTATTTAAAGCTACGTTTTCACACCCACCACAACAACTCGCTACTGTTTTTTTTTATTCTGTTCGTGACATTGGCTGTTGTTTCTTTAATAAAAATTGTTGGTACAAACCTTTTGTTTCGACTCTTTCTTCAAGACGAACTCACACAAAGTTCGGAGAGAAACATAAACACGCTTCATAACTTGGTATCCTCCTACTACTTAAAACTCCATTCCGCCTTTTATAAAATTGCCAATTGATAGTCTATTTGATTGTTCTCTTGTCCTCACCTTCATGATCGTTTTTATACGAAGTTGTGGTGTTTTCCCAAAGCGGCTCTAGTACTTAATAAACTTTGTGTTCTGATTTACACAGTTTTAAAATAAAAACTTAATAAATGGGTGTTTCAAGTTTCAATCTTTTCCAGTTTTATTGTTTAAAGAACCACTAAAACCAGAACTAAGAATAAAATGGATTTTCCAACTACACTAGAAGTTATCCTTAACCTATTTCTGTTGTCCGATAAAAATAGTTTATGGCCTGTGTTGATTACGTTAGACCTCACTAAAAATATAACCATAAATTAAATTAGATCTCTCAACCTTTTTAGTCATCATTAGAACATCATTGCTAAAAACAACACAATTATTCAATTTCAAATACTAATTGTTCACGTGTATTATCGTAAGTATTATTAACGAGTGAGTTGATTAATTTATAAAAACAACAACTTGGCTTCGCCTGTAAGTGAAACATGATGGGGCTGCCGCCTGCAGTCTATAGTAATATAGGTCAGTCTAGCCGCGCCAATTAGAACCCTGGTCGTGTTGCTCCACATATTACTGTTAATGCGAATTGAAGGGGAGGGGGAGTAAAAATATTCAGGAAACAGGTAAAATCACGAGAAGCTAAATTAGAATAAAATAGAAGTACACAGCGTGGTCACAAATAAATAGACACCACCTTTTCAGAAAAAAATTAAAATTTTCAGTCATATTCACATGAATTGATATATTTATAATTTAATTAATATCTAGTA